AAGACACCTCTGTAAATCTGAAAACACCGACTCTGAATACTAGAAATTCTGTCGTTATTATAGAATTAAGATCTAACTCTGACTTTCCCTGTTTTCCACACAATACACGCTGGGATAAACTCCATAAATGCCACTCCACCTGCGAGCTCAATAAAGACAAACAGATTTAGAGACAGAATTAAGTGGGACAGCTGGTGGTTACTGCATTAAGAAAATGTAAAGCCCCAAAAACCTTCAAAGTGCTTTTCTGTCATCGTTCATGCTTCAGGGTAGCATTTTCCAGTGAAGTCTAAAAACATAACTGGTTAAAGCCACAATTTAAAACTATTTTCAAATGCATAGACAGCATTGATGTCTGGAAAAAAGATGTACATTAACATTACATGTAAAATCACACAGCTGCTCTCCATACCCTCCCACATCAACTTCCTTGAAGCAGCAAAATAACAGTGACTAGGAATAGCATCCTATACAGACAGCCTGTCATTATAAAGTTGGCACGCTCTCACGCCGTTCTTGCACATCTTCTGCTCAAACAGAATGTCTCCCAGGAACGACTATCCCCACGCACAAACCGCTAAATCATCACCTATAAAACTGTGGAAACGAGACCAACTATCTTCAGCTCGCTCCAGTCTGCAGCGCTAATGTGGTTTTGTCTGAGAAAGGATTTCACAAGTTCACCGTCTGAGGGGATGTCGTGGGTTAGAAATGAGGCCTGAGAGTGCACTGAGTGCTTTGACGTATGCATGCTTTAATCTTGTGGGTCTAGACTGAGAGAGTAGGTCAGCGTGTCACACATTTTGCTACAATACTGGATTCAATAACGCATCAATCCAAGAGCGAGGACAACCTGTGGAGGCTCGAATCCAGGAAACACAGGAAGTGTTAAAGATGAAAAGGAAACCGTGCATGTGTAGGCTGCGCTGTGATATCTGTGTCAGTGTTCAGCTTCCACTTTGTTAATAGTTTTTGAACTGCTGGGTATTAGATGGCATTC